AGTGAGGCTAGGAATCTTGATGGACTAGTTCCTTTTCCCGGTCAACTTGCGGAAAGGAAGTTGAATGAAAGTTTGCAAAATTCCTTCGTGTGATGAAGAATTTGCACATCAACCTCCATTTCCTTGAAGTTGTGACACAAATGCCATCTTACTCCAAATTCCTCAAATATATTCTCACCAAAAAGAGGAAGCTCAATGATGAGCTTATCACCCTTCCACATCAAGTGAGTGCTCTTGTCCAACATAAGATGCCCAAGAAGGAAAAAGACCTAGGAAGCTTCACTTTGCCGGTGAAAATCGGGAACATGGATGCTAGGGGCGCCTTAGCCGATCTTTGAGCAAGTGTTAGTTTAATCCCTCTATCCATTGCTCAAAAACTCAATATAGAGATGATCCCTACAAGGAAGACAATTCAATTGGCTGATCGGTTGGTGAAGTTACCTTGTGGAGAGCTTGAGGATAATCCAATTCAAGTGGGACACATCTACGTGCCTTGTGACTTTGTAGTGATGGATATGGAGGAAGATGTTAACACTCCTTTGATTTTGGGATATGAAGCTCTTAACGTTTTGGGGGCGGTCATCAATTGCAAGAACAACACCATCACGTGTAAGGCGGCCGATGAGAAGATTGTCTTTGAGTTTTCTAAGTTGCTCAAGACCCCCATGGTTGAAAAATGCTATAAAGTTGATGCTATGAGTGAGGAGTTAGATCGCTTGGGGAGGGTCATGATGAAGCCTCAACATCCAATGGTAGAAGCTCTATCATGCAAGGAAGAGTTCCACTCTCAAGAGGCAAAAGAGTTTGTCATGGAAATGGAGGAATCCTCAAAGGAGGAGGTTGAACAACAAGTTGAGATCGAGCTTGAGTCTAAGGAGGAGATAACGGAGGAGATTTTTAAGCCTCCTCCCAAGGTAGAACTCAAGCCCCTTCCCCCTTCTTTGAAATATTCTTATCTTGATAAATAGGGAAAATACCCTATTATAGTCAATGCTACCCTAGATGGTCTTAATGTGGAAAAACTACTTGATGTTTTGAGAAAATACAAGGATGTGATAGGGTATAGCATTGATGATATCAAAGGTATTTGCCCTTCTTTATGCATGCATCGTATTCATCTTGAAGATGATCATTCCACCACCATTGAACCTCAAAGGAGGTTGACCCCAACCTCCAAGAGGTTGTCTAGAAAGAAATTTTAAAACAACGCGAGGCGGGCATCATCTATGCTATCTCCGATAACAAGTGGGTTAGCTCGGTTCATGTGGTTCCAAAAATAGGTGGGATGACCTTAATCAAGGTTGAAGGAGGAGAGGAAATCTCCACCCGGATGGTGACCGAGTGGAGAATGTGTATTGATTATAGGAGGTTGAACAAAAATACCAAAAAAAATAATTTTCCTCTCCCATTCATGGACCAAATGCTTGAGAGACTCTCTCACCATGTTTTCTTTTGTTTATGGGATGGGTACTCCGGATTTTTCCAAATCCCCATGTCCACATGGGACATTTGCATACCGAAGAATGTCATTCGGCTTATGCAATGCTCCTTCTACCTTTCAAAGATGCATGACCTCCATTTTGTCTGAGATGCTTGAAAAAGAAAATGAAGTTTTCATGGATGATTTTAGTGTTGGTGGCTCGTCTTTTGACACTTGTCTTTTTAACCTCGAAAAAGTTTTGAAAAAGTGTCAAGAGACGAGTTTAGTTATAAATTGGGAAAAGTGCCCCTTCATGGTCGAGGAGAGTATTGTCCTCGACCATAAAGTTTCAAAAAATGGCATTGAAGTTGATCCGGCCAAAGTTTCGGTGATTGAGAAATTCCCCCCACCTACTTCTATCACGGGAGTCGAGCTTTTCTTTGGCATGCCGGTTTCTACCGGAGATTTATCAAAGATTTTTCGTCAATAGCCAAACCTTTTACCGAATTACTCAAAAAGGATGTTGATTTTAACTTCAATGAGGCTTGTCTTGAGGCATTTCATAAGCTCAAGGAAGCTCTCATCTCCTCTCCCGTTATGCAAGCTCCGGATTGGAGCTTGCCTTTTGAACTAATATGCGATGCGAGTGATTTTGCAGTGGGTTCCATGCTTGGGAAAAAGAAAGAAGGAAAATCATGTGTGATCTACTATGCAAGTAGGACTCTTGATGAATCTCAAAAGAACTATACAACAACGGAGAAGGAAACGCTAGCGGTTGTGTTTGCCTTTGATAAGTTTAGGTCCTATCTTATTTGCTCTCAGGTGATTGTGTATACGGATCATATTACGGTGCGACATCTCATGACTAAGAAGGAAGCAAAGCCTCGCCTTATCCGTTGGGTTCTCTCGGTTCAAGATTTTCACATGGAAATGAGGGACAAAAAGGGAGCGGAGAACTATGTTGCAGATCATTTGTCTAGGCTACCTTTTGAGAACAAAAGTGATGTACCAATGAATGATGAGATAGGATTTGAAACACTCATGGCTATAGCTTCAACATCTAGCCCTTGGTATGCGGACATCGCCAATTATCTTGCTTGTGGAGTCATTCCCCCGGAGTTTTCTTCTCAACAAAAGAAGAGGTTTTTCAAGGAAGTGAGGAGGTACTTTTGGAATGACCCATAATTGTTCAAACAATGTGGAGATGGACTTTTTCAAAAATGTGTTCCGGATCATGAAATCGAAGGAGTTCTTGAGCATTGCCATTCATTACCATGTGGAGGACATGGGGGTGTTGATAAGATGGTGGCAAAAATTTCTCAATCTTTATTGTGGTGGCCAACGATGCATAAGGATGCCCACAAGGTCGTTTCACAATGTGATAGGTGTCAAAGAAGTGGTGGCATAACCAAAAGGGATGAAATGCCTCAACAAAGTGTCTTGGAAGTTGAGCCCTTTGATGTTTGGGGGGTGGACTTTATGGGGCCTTTTGTTTCTTCTTGTGGAAATATATATATCTTGGTAGCGGTTGACTATGTGACAAAATGGATTGAAGCCATATCCTCTCCTACCAATGATCACAAAGTTATGCTTAATCTTCTAAAGAAGATCATTTTTCCTAGATTTGGGGTTCCAAGGGTGTTAATTAGTGATGGAGGCTCCCATTTTGCCAAAAAGCAATTTGAAGCTCTTCTCAAGAAATATGGCGTTCATCACAAGGTTGGACTACCTTACCACCCTCAAACTCAAGGACAAGTGGAGGTCTCAAATCGTGAAATCAAGAATATACTTGAAAGGATGGTGAACAAATCAAGGAAAGATTGGTCTCTCAAGCTCGATGACACACTATGGGCTCTTAAAATGGCGTACAAGACTCCGATCCGCACGACCCCCTATAGGTTGGTCTACGGAGAGGCTTGTCACTTGCCGGTTGAGTTAGAATACAAGGCTTAGTGGGACATCAAAAAACTCAATATGGATTTATCGTTGGCCGGTGAGAAGAGGTTGCTTAAGCTCAATGAACTTGAAGAGCTTAGAAATGATGCTTATGAGAGCTCAAGATTGTATAAGGAGAAGACCAAAAAGTGGCATGACAAACATATACGAAACAAGAGCTTTAAGGTTGGAGATAAGGTTTTGCTTTTCAACTCAAGGCTTCGTTTGTTTCCGAGTAAACTGAAATTCAAGTGGTCGGGTCCTTTTGTGGTATTGAAGACTACTCCTTATGGTTCTTTTGAGTTAGATGTGAATAGTAACAAGTTTATGGTCAATAGTCATCGTTTGAAGCATTACTTTTGCAAGGAAGAAGTTGGTCTCATTGAATGTCTAATGCTTGATCCTTTAGATCCTAAGCCTCCCCTTTGATGAATTTTTCTCATGCATTACTACAAAATTACCTTTAAAAGTCGCCCTTTTAGAGTCACATATTAAAAATATGTGACACATTAGCCTTTGGAGTCACCCCTTATAGATGAGGCGACACTGTAGGTAGTATAATAAGTTCAGAAAAAATGTAAATTGTCACTTGATTATTATAGTATGACTCATAAATGTTTGGAGTCGCCTCATATAAATTAAGTAATGCGTAAGGTTGTTGTATAAATATAGCTATTAAGTCTAATACATCGCCTGAAATTAAAACCTAACTCATAAGCTTTAAGAGTCACTCGCTATAAATTAGGCGACACATCAGGTCGTATTAGAAATGATGAAAATAAGTCTAAAGGGCATATTCTTGATATGTGACTCGTAAACATTTGGAGTTGCCTCTTATATATAACGTGATTCGTAAGGTTTGAATATGAATTTATCTAAATATTTTATTAACTCGTACCTTAATTAGTATATGATACTAGTAATACTACTTACATATTTTAAGAGTTACTTGTATTGTATATATGAGTGCCATAAATCAATGCGTAAGGTTTCATCTTATATTTGAATAGTAAAATTGTTATTGGATGTCACTTCCTCTGTTTTTAGATAATTGAAACTATCAAACTTGATTGTCAATACATGTTGATTTGATCTTATATCTATAATAAAAAAAGTTGATATTATGAAAGTTTATATTAATAACTATTTCACAATATATTTCATAAAAATATTTGTTTTTTTACACTTAATTAAAAAACAATGGTAAAACTTAGTATATGTATTGTGAAAAAAGTCAAAAGTGTTAATTATTTATGAACGGGGTGTGTAACGTGCGACCAATTAACATTTTGAGTCATATAATACGGAGTAACATTTTAAGTTATCTAATATTGAGTACTCCGTCCGTCACTTATTTTTGCCCAATTGCTACATTAAAATCTTATACTACTAAGAGATTAAGTAATACAATTGTAATTAAAAAAAAAGTCATTAGAATCTTATATAGAAAAAAAAAAAATTAAACTAACTAAAACCATATACTACTAAAAGAAAGAGTACTATGTCTTAAAAAAAAAAAAAAAAAAAAAAAAAGAAAAGAAAAAAAAGAAAGATAATGAGTACTACGTTTTTTTAATTAAAAAAAAAAAGAAAAAAAACAAAGAAAGAGTAGTACGTTTTTTTAATAAAAAGAAAGAAAAAAAAAAGAAGGTAAAAGAGTACTGCATTTTTTTTTAATCAAAAAATAAAATAAAGAAAGTTAAAAACCCTTGAAAACTAAACCATCCATATTCATCTTCTTTAACAATACTATGATTTCCCACGCAAACCAAACCCCTAAAACTTGAAACCCAATCAAACACCAGTATATTCCCTTGCAATTTGAAGCGACGGAGCATCTAATATTGCGTCTCAACCCCAGCAACTAAATTTTCCGGCTTAATTGTGATAATTTTGGCGGTGGGTCTCACCTAATATTTTGTAGAAGCTTCGAATTCGAAGGTAAGCATCTGATAAACCATAAATTCATCTATTTATACATGGGCTATTATAAATTTGGTGTTTTAGTTGATCAAAATTCATTGTCTTTCATTGACTTGTTATTTAATTAGGCTGAATTTGTTTTTTTTGGGATCTTATGCTTAATTGAATTTCTACATTTTTGGGGGTTTTTTTCATAAAGTACGGTTATGTTCAAATGTTGGACCATTGCATGTTGATTATTGATGTGATTTGTTAATCATGGACTTAATTTACTTTTTGTATTCAACTAGAAACTTATATAATTAAGAAATATGAAGATTATGCATCCCGTATCAGTATGACATCTTTTAAAATTGATTTTTCAATTAATTTATTAGTCATGTGAATATTGACTATATAGATGCTCTCGTATTAATTATATAATTTATTGATAAAACTATTTTTATTCTGATGCATATACGGTAGACACTACGATGTGATCTTATGCTATTACGTACTCTGCTACTACTAATAAAACAAATCTAGAATGAGTTCACCCAGAGTGATAAGGACACTGTCAAAAACTCATATATTATTAAATTCTTGTATATTGGTTTATGAGATTTAATGTTTATTAATTAAATATATGTGGGACATGTATTTGTTAGAGATCAAAAGGACAAAACTTGGATTACACGAAAGCGTACTACGCCTGAATTTCATCAAGGGGTTGAAGTTTTTATTCAAATTGCCTTGAAACATAAAGTAAAAGGGGAGAAAATATGTTGTCCGTATAAAACTTGTGGAAATATGGGTACGGTGTCTAATGAAAATGAACTACGAGATCATATTTTTTGTAATGGGTTTTTGAAGAATTATGATGAATGGGTTTGTCATGGTGAGGGAATAGTAGATGATGATATTAACTATGATGATAATGTAGTGGGCTTAAATAATGTTGATGATGATTATGAAGATGATCAGCTTGAGGAGATGTTACTTGATAGGGAGGAAAATATGGATGAGAGGGGACATGTTTTACATAGTTTTTTAAGTGATGCTAATAAGCCTTTGTATGCTGGCTGCTCTAAGTATACTAGACTTTCTTGTGTACTAAAGTTGTTCAAAATAAAAGCAAAACATGGGTGGAGTGATAAGGGTTTCACAGATTTGTTGGAATCATTAATAGATATGCTTCCCGAAGGTAATGAGCTTCCAAGTTCTACATACCAAGAAAAGAAAATGTTGTGTCCAATGGGTTTAGATGCTGAGAAGATACACGCTTGCCCAAATGATTGTGTGTTGTACCGAAAAGAGTACAGTGACTTGCATGAATATCCAAAATGTGGGACATCACGATATAAGGTGAGCAATGATGGTGAAATTGTCAAAGGAGGGGCTCCTGCAAAAGTGCTTTGGTATTTCCCTATTGTGCCAAGGTTTAAACGTTTATTCGCTAATGTTAATGATGCAAATAATCTAACATGGCATGCTGATGAGCGCAAAATAGGCGGATCGCTTCCACATGCAGTAGATTCCCCACAATGGAAACATATTGATGATGAATTTAAAGAATTTGGTTGTGAAGCAAGGAATTTAAGGCTAGGCTTATGTACTGATGGAATAAACCTATTTGGTAACAAGAGTAGCCAACACAGCACCTCGCCAGTTTTGTTGGTGATTTATAATTCACCACCTTGGCTAATTATGAAGCGTAAGTACATTATGTTGTCATTATTGATTTCAGGACCTAAGCAGCCAGGGACTGCATAGATGTATACTTAGCACCATTGATTGATGATTTAAAAATGTTGTGGGATGAAGGCATGCCTATGTTTGATGCTTATCGAAATGAGTCTTTTACGTTACGTGCCATGATTTATTGCACAATTAATGATTTTCCAGTCTGTCTGGTCACATGAATAAGGGATATAAAGCATGTCCAATTTGTGAAGATGATACAGAAGCTATTCATCTACCGAAAAGTAAGAAGTTGTTGTATAAAATGTTTAGAAAACTTCGAAAGGCATTTGATGGAAAACCTGAGCATGGAAATGCTCCTATTCCTCTATCAGGGAAACAAGTTTATGAGCGGGTTAAGGACATCAATTTTGTTTTTGGCAAACCTTACAAGGCTTCGGGTGACAATGTTTGCTACAAAAAGATGTCTACATTTTGGATCTTGCCGTATTGGAAAAATCTATTAGTGAGACATTGTATAGATGTGATGCATGTTGATAAAAATGTTTGTGTTTTGTAGGAACCGGGGTCTTCAAAGAGGAGAAGGCTTAAGTCAAAATGGAGTTGAAGAAAGCAAGTTCTAGAGGAGGTGTTGTCGAACTCTCTGAAAGGTTCGGTCGAACCTTGGGTGTGACCGAACCTGCACAAGGTTTGACCGAACTTTGGAAGCAGGTACTTTTTAGATTTCATCATTTTTAGAAGCGGTCGAACCCCATAAGTTCGACCGAACCAGGAGCAGGGAGGTTCGACCAAACCTACCCATGGTTCGGCCGAACCTACCCTGATGTTTGACCGAACCTACCCTATGTTCGGTCGAACCTTTTGCCGATTTCAACCAACTGTGTGCAGACTATATAAGCCCTGTTTTAGAACGTTTTGGGGGAAGGAGATTAACTTAGTTCTAATTTCTTAATTTTAGCTTAATCTAGAGAGAGAAAGTGGATTATTACTCAAGTTTCCTTTATTGTATTCAACTTTGGTCAAGTTTAATATTCAATCAAGCAACATTTAAAGTTTTCATCTTTCATTATTCCTCTCTTTAGTAATCTCTATTCCTTTCTTTTAGCTTTATATATTTGCTTTATTGTTGCTTATTTTCATTAATCTTATTAGTTCATCTAGTTATTATTGATTTCATTATTCTTAATCATGTTTTGTTTTGTGTTTCTTGAGTTTATTTCTAGTTTTGATATTATGTTTAATCTCCCTTCTCTAGGATAATTTCTTAGCTAGGGGAAGGGGGTGGAAAATATGTGTTGATATTGGTTGAATGATGATGATTGGATTGAACTCATGCCATAAATTGATGAAAGAAATGATTTTTGATAGCTGATTATCGTGGCACTTTATTTGATGTTTTCTAGTTCAAATGCATGAAAGTGATTTGAACTAGATTAAGATTATCTATATTTTAATGATTGCATGAGAATGAGTTATTAAAGTGGAGTTGTATGGATTGTGCTACTTTATTCTCTTGATTTGATTGTAACTAATAGGATTCATGAGAATGATTAGGGGTGTAAATGAGCCGAGCCGAGCCGAGTACTACCTTGTTCATGTTCAAGCTCATTTAATTTAGGCGAGCCCGAGCACGAGCCCGAGCTTTCAAGCGAGCTCAAAATTCTGTTCAAGCTCGGCTCATTTAGTAAACTATATGTTCGCAAACGGTTCGTGAACGACTCGTTTATTAAACGAGTATTTTTCATAAATGAGCAATTTTTTAAACGAGCTTAATAATAAACGAGCTTTGTACTTTTGACATTCGAAAATCTCAAAATTAGCATAAAAATGAAATCCTAATTATAATCATAAAAATTAAATGAACAATTGTAACATCAATAATTAATAAAAAAGTTATTAATGATCAATTTATATGATCAAGCTATATTTCACTTAAAAACACTTTGCGTCTTTGAGATATCGCATCTTATTCACTTTTGCTTGTGATTTTCTACTTCCTTGATTTCTTGTCCTCTTATGGTTTGGAGAAAAATACATGCACACTAAGAGAAACAAAAAAAAATAGATGTTAGAATAAAACATCATTTAGTTAGTTAGAAACTAATATATAATACTCAGTAGTATATATACTACTCAAACTATTTAATACCTCTTATGTAAAAATTAATCACTTTCATGGTAAATCGATAATCTTGAACTCTTCAATAACCTGCAAAATAATTAGCATTAATTCATTTCTAGTTTTCAACCTTTTAAATTTATTCACCTAAAAGAATTCTATACATACGTATAGTAATTTAGTATATAGATGTTTCCGTACCTTTTGTTTCCTCTTGATTCCATAAAAGCTTCTTAGCCAATCCTCAGTGCACATTAGCATTTGGATAGTAGATGTTCCTAAGGATGCCCTATAAGAATCTATGACTATACCACCAGCACTAAAGGTGGATTCTGAAGCAACTGAAGTTACAATAGCAAGGATGTCACATGCCATCTTTGATAAAATACGAAACTTCAAGTTGTTAGCCTTCTACCATTGTAGTGTATCAAATTCATCAGACTCTTCATCACAAATGACAACACCTTCTAAATAGACATCAATCTCTGATTTTATGCTCTCAAATGTGTTGTAGCCACTCCTAATAAAGCTATCAAATCTCTTCCTACCCTTTTGGAAAATCTTATTTTTTTCCAGTATTACTAGGGCCCACATTTACAGCAGCACTATAATTCTAATCACTCTCATGAGCAGTTTTTTGAGCATTATTTAAGGAATGAGCTTCAACATACTCCAAGTAGATATCATACAAAGTGTCCCGCAGATATTTTGTATGTGTTGCCATTTCATCCTCCGAGTAAAGTGTAGAAAAAGACAACTCACTTAATTTTAATTTATTTCTAGTATCTAATGCAGCTGCAACAGATATAAGCAAATTACAATTTCCCCAATATTTATCAAATTTAACCTTCATCCTGTGAGCCATTGCCCTCATAAAATCATAATCTCTTTCAACTCAACTCTCCAAAGCTTACTTAATGTTGGTAAGTTCTGGCAAAAATATGTTTGAAGTTGGATACTCACTTCCTGCATTTAAATGTAATGTTAATCAATATGTTATAGCTTTGATATAATTATGTGTTAAAAAAAAAGAAAGAAAATTTGAATTACCAGAAATTATTTCAGTAGCTTGGTTAAATAGTGATAAGAAAGTGCAAACAACTTCAACTTTCTTCCACTCTTCATCTGATGGGAAGAGATTGTAACTTGGCTCTCTATTCTTGTACCTTGGAAACACACCCCTAAACTCGAATGCAACAGATAACATATGGTAGGTTGCATTCCACCTAGTACAACAATCAAGAACCAACCTTCTACCAGGTAACTTTAGTTGTTTACATATTTCACTAAAGATGTTAAGTCGAGCTATGGATGTTATGACATGCTTCACACTTTCCCTCACCTTATATATTACATCCTTGATCTCTTCTAACCCGTCATGCACCAAAATGTTAAGTATATTAGCACAACAACGGACATGAAATAACTTTCCACCATAAGGTAAAATAGCTTGGCAAGATATGCTATCTTTCAATGTCCTTACAACTACATCATTGTAAGTTGCATTATCCACTGTTATGCAAGCCAATTTACTCTCAATTTCCCACTCAACTTAACATTTATATAAAGCATCATGAACATCAACTCTAGAGTGAGGTGGTGGAATATTCACAAAATTAATGACTCTTGTGTAATTGAAAGTCAATGACAAAATGACAAGTTATTGCCATATACTCTATCTTTTGTGAATCCGACCTCCATATGTCAGTAGTAATGCAAACCCGATTTGCTTGTTTTAACAATCCCTTAGTTCTCTTCTTTTCAATGTCATAACTAGTCATACAAATATTTTTCGCAGTCACACGTGAAACTTTTTCATATTCTGGGGCAGAGGCTTTCATTAACATGTTAAAGACCTCATATTCTGCAAACATAAATGGTAGCTCATGAACAATAATCATGTGAGCCATAAGCTCTCTAATCTTAGCATGGTCATATTTCCAGTTTTCAAGACCCTTATTATTTTCAGATTGAGGAGTAGAAATTTGGAAACCTAATTGTTGTTTCCCATTTGATTTACCCATAGAACAAGACATCAAATGCCTCCTATATTGAGTTGTTGGACCACCCTCGGTGTACTTAAAAAGAGTACTACAATTTTTGCACTTTACCTTTATAATTCCAGTTGAATATGTCACAAATTCAAGATGTCTCCATACCCATGAAGTCTTCTTCCTTTGTCTCTTTGCAAAAGGATTTAATTCCTCTATTTCATCCTCTCTTACTTGTTCATCAATTACATCTTCAACCACACGCTCTATTCCAGTAAACAAAGGATCATTCTCCATCCTAACGTGTTATGTTCAAGGAAATAAGACAAATCTATTAATTATAAGAACAAATTAAAGAATTTAAGACACATGGTTGACAAATTAAAGAATTATATACAACATACCTTCACAAAATTATTTTCAGTAATCGGCAAGACGGCAACAGTAATGGCGTATAAAATTCTTTGTCTTTCAATTATGCTTAACAATATTCTTTGAAGTTTGGAGTTTAGAGTATTACAAGCACTTTAAGGAAAAATGCAAAATACATGGTCGATGTATTTAGACTGTGAATCTTTAGTCACTAGCTAAATTTGGAATAACCACTTAAATTAGGGATTTTTTTTCTTGTTATAAAAGATTATTTATTTTAGGCTTTGTTTGTTTGGAAAGTTTCTTAGATTATACGAGTAATAAAAGTCAAAGATATAATTTGAATATTTTTCTTGAATTATATACAGTAAATTGGTAATCATATATTAAGATACTATATTATTCAATAATAAACGAGTAGTTCGTGAACGTAAAGAAACGAGTAGTTCGTGAACGTAAATAAACGAGTAGTTCGTGAACGTAAATAAACGAGTAGTTCGTGAACATAAATAAACGAGTTGTTCATGAACTTACCTGAACGAGCATATATATGTTCATGTTCAAGCTCATTTATTACATGAGCTTCAAATTTTGTTCAAGCTCGGCTCAATTATTAAATGAACGAACATGAACAAGCTCTAACCGAGCTCGAGCCCGAGTAGTTTATTGGTCGGCTCGGTTCATTTACACCCCTAAGAATGATCCTTATTAGTATAGACCTTTTTCATTGATTTGCCTAGACTATTGCATGAGAATGAATTGTTTAGGTAGAATCTTGTGTTCTTTGGCACGTTCTTCATGATAACCATTATTGTTTTCCTCTTTCTAATCATATTTGACACCCCGTATCCCTAGCGTTGTTCTCTCTTGATTTTAATCATCATTTTCTTTGCTTATTTGTAGTTTTAGTGCTCTTTATTCAGAAACCAAGAAAAACATTCCCCTTTTTTACTCTTGCATTAGTTAAAATTGATGTTGAATGAGTGAGCTTCCTTAGTGGTTCGACCCTTTACATGCCCCTATACTTGTATTAGGGTAGTTTAGGAATATAAATGATTAATTTGATTAGGGTAGTACTTTAACGGCCTATCTAACCCTCAATCAAGTCGGACTCACCAAACCCCAATAGCGGTATCGGAGCCTCGCGTTATTTTTAAAATCTGATATTTTTCAAGGTGTTTTTATGGCTTAATTTTTCTGGTTTTAAGCTGCTAATTAGATTAGTAGCTCGTTTTATCCATTTTAACCTCGTATTAGAGCTGACTGCAGCTCCTGAACCTAGATTTACCTAGATTTCGACCCAAAAATAGTGATATTTGGGTGGAAAAGGCGTTTTGGAAATGGTTTTATCCTTTTAGGTTTCGATTTTTAGCCAAAAAACGACCGGAAATGCAATTTTTGAGGGGTTTTTCATTTTTACGAAAATTTTTAAGTCTTTCTAACCTTGAAAATTAATTGCATATTTTATATGCAATTTTAAACCTCTTTAGGCATGATTACTTGGTGGTAATTTGTGTTTGAAAGCTTGGTTTTATTTTTCACATAATTGCAATGCATTTAGTGTGAAATTGTTGTTCTAACCTTAAAATTGTTGTTCTTGGTGGTACTTAGTTGATTGGAATCATAAAGTTTGAAACTTGTGATAGAAATTTGTTTATCTTCATATTGGAAGATATAATTTTCCAAGCATTCACAAGTATTAAAGTTGGAATTTTTATTGAACTTATGCTCATTTTTACAACTCCCTTTTATTTTGTCAAAATTACAAGATTAATTTAAATTGATTAAATTAATAGTGAGTAATTGCCCTCTTATTTTGGTTGCACTAAGTTAAACCAATTTTATTAAAGAATGGTTCTTGGAATAATTTTGGTTTTATGCACTTGGATGAATTTATTTAAGTTGGACTTGTTATATTTTCATTTTTCCTCAAAATTAATTGATTCTAAAATTAATTTAGAATTAATTAAATATGTCCCACAAAATCGGGAATTTTACCGAGGCATGAGCACTAAATCAAGGCCTAAGAGCCCCAAGCATGCTCTCGGCCAGCCGGGTTGCTCACACAACCCACATGGGGGCTGCCAAGGCTGCTGGGCGCCTCGAAGTGGTGCGTGTGTGCGGGGGAGCTGTTGTGCAGCACCATGGCAGCCGCCTTATGGCTGGTCGTGGGTAAGCCGAGCGTGGGGCTTGCATTGAGCGTGTATGTGTGCGTAGCTTGGTACATAATTAAGGGTAATATGCTTAGACATTGCTTGTAAAGCAATATGGTGCAATGAGATCGTGCGAGTTGTGAGCACTCTAAGTCTTAGTTCTAAGCACTTGGATATTTTAATTATTTTAATTATTTTGTTTTATTTAATTAAAAATTTGGAGGCTAGCCTTTGGGTTTTTGAGCGACATTTGCAAAAAAAAATTTTGGCACATAATTGGGTTTTACCGGGTTAATTAATTGGATTAATTGAGTTGGATGCTGAATTTAGTGGGACCTTCAAATATTAATTGCGCTTATTTATATAATCAGTTAAAAAAACTTTGACTAGTTTTAATTAGGCGTGTTAATTGGATTAACCACCTAAATTAGTTACTAGTTATCGCGTGTTTATGCATTGTTACTTGTTTTACCATTGTAAAATGCATGGGCCATTCATAAATAGTGAATGGATTAATGGAATGTATATTCTCTCATAGGTTTTATAAAAATGGCATCTAGTGGGGCCCGATTAGGATAGAAAATACGGACTGCGATTTGTGATGTATTTTTATAAATCTAAATACGATCTGCGTATCGTTGAGTATTTTTGTACCTTAATATTTAGATTAGTCCTAATCGTAGATACTAGTAGTTGCATAATTTTGGTCAAGTCTTGAAGACGGAGGTCCTTGGAAGACAAAGCCATGAAGTTGCAAAAGAAGACCTTTTGAAGACTTGAAGAATTCAAGGGGTCATGCTAGCTGCCAATATGTATCAAAATGCTTATGCTTTACATATTTATGATCATTAATATATGAATTATATGTTAGATACATTTTTAGGATTTCAAATGTTGCGATGATTAATTAAGTTCACTAAAATCAACCAACATAGAAACCCTAGGTCCCTAAATATTGAGTAAAATTGGCATTCCAAAACAACACTTATCGACCTATTGAGAGTAGTGATAGGCTACGCCAAAGTGAGGCATCACTATTATTCCCTAGGATACATAAGGTTTGTGGATGGGTTTGCCAAAGCAAGACATCACATACAAGTTGGTTTTGGTTGTACTCAACGATATGAGTGATGAAGTCCTAACATGTCGTGGCTAAGTGAATAAATTGTTGAGAAAGTATTAGATGGGACGATTTATTCAACCAAGAATGACTTGGAGCCATTAGCAAAGCATTGCTTATCGTGGGAGATTGAGTGCCAAGACAAGCCAAAGCATGCATAGTCACTCTTTGTTTCTTTTGATCTTGGAATCGACTTATTCTCGCCAAATGGGGACAATTTTAATGTGTGGATAAGACGTTTAATAAGATTGAAAATTGGCATGAATACCTTTTAATTTTCAAACTTATTATGTTATTTACTTGATAAATGGTTATACTTTGCACTTATATTTGTAGAGCTCCAAATCAAACTATATTGTTTTCCATGATTAGTAAAGGAAATCATAAAGAAATGGTTCTCAAAGAAAAGTAAAGCATTTCTAAAATACAATTCTCATAAAATGACTTTTATAACAAAGTCCGAAAAGGAGGTTGGACATCATATATTCAGAAAACTAGGTAGTTTTGATAAAACATGAAGTATTGAGTTGGAAACTCAAATTGTCAATATTGACAACTAACATATCTTTTCGCTTTATACATAGATGAGTAGGACTCATTGATGTAGTAATTCAAGTGTGAATTAAAGGAAAAGATGGAACTTTGTTTTACGGTGCATTAGATGCTTAATTATGCCTAACAAAGTATAAAAGTCAAAGACTCTTAAAGAAATGGTTCTTAAAGATTATGAGATAAAGTATGATAAAAAATATAGGAAACAAGGAACAAAGAAAAGGAATGAGATTCCATTTTACTAAAGAATTCATGTTATTGAAATTAACTTAGCAACTCATTATCTTCACAATGTATCGGATACTGCTTGAGTGTTCCACTTTGAAAGTGACCTCAAACTATTGAAGATAAACTAAGTTATCGACTTACAAGCTTAGAATGAAGCAAGTGGTGCTACATAAGTTGTAAGGTCGTATGCTTTATTTAGAGACCTTTAAGCTAAGGCTGGAACAAATAAATGGTTATTGTGTTCCATAATTACCAATTGATCCGTTTACACAGGGAAAGACTCACATTTAAAGTTATGAGCAATAGTTGCAAATTTATTTGAATGGTATGGTTATCTAAACCCTTAGACAAGAATGCTTGATTATAAACAAACATTTTCTTAACATGATAAACTGGCAAAAGTTCAAAGTCATGGGCATGATTTGCGTTCTGAACATCTTTAGCAATGTCACATCGACAAGAACGTACTCAAGGCTCTATTAGATAGGATCTTCGTAGTTGATCGATTCCAAATCGTTCTAAGACATGCAAGTCTTACTTGTTGAAACCGACAATGTAAAGAGCTACTTTTCTTGGTATAGACAATTGACTCTGAAAGCTAAAAAGGATTAATTTACTTCAATGTTTCAAAAAGAATTTGAAAGAATATGGCTATATTCATCAAATGTGAACAAACTTTACCTTGAATAGTTCAATAGTTTAGTGAAGTACATAATCGACTTGGCACGATATCAAAACGTCTAGATTAGATCAAGCGATGTTTTCTTGAGCCAAGCGTGACCATCACAAAGTTATGAAATTGAAATTTTCATAAATAAATCCACAAAGAACATAGTGTGTCTTCACGGAGACCTCGATGCCATTTAAAAATG